AAGCAATTTGGGTGCTTGAAAGATGCAATAACCCGCCAAATCCGAGCTGCAAACAAGAGCTTAGGTGAAGAAGATTGCTTAGGAGGCAAAATCGAAGTGTCGTCGACACTTAAGTTTGTCATCATCATCTCCGACAACAACGAGCACTTCAGCAGTTGGGAATGATCCACACAATGCTTGGAGACCCCAAAGAGGGCTACCCGAAAAATCGGTCTCGGTTCTTCGAGCTTGGCTCTTTGAACACTTTCTTCATCCGTAAGTAAACTTTAAAGTTCCCTTCCCTTGTAATTTTCCAACACTTAAATTTATTGTGTATTCTGATATCTCTATTTGCATTGCAGATTCCCTAAAGATTCAGACAAGATCATGCTTGCAAAACAAACAGGGCTAACTAGAATCCAGGTACTAATTTCCCATTTTTTTTAAATAGGACAAACTCTGTTTGATTAACTTTTAATTGTTATTTTTGTAATAATTTCAGGTGTCAAAATGGTTCATAAATGCTCGAGTTCGGATTTGGAAGCCAATGGTGGAAGAGATGTACATGGAGGAGATCAAGGAACAAGAACAAAATGGATCAGATGAGAAAACGAGCAAGAGCCATAACAATGAAGATTCAACATCCAAATCCACTGCACCAGACAACATGGCCAAAAGTTTCAGTTCCAACCAGGATAATATCCCTAACCAGAATGGTTCCTCAATGTCCATTTCCATGGCATCAACATCTCCCCTTTCCGGCAACCAGTAGGGATTCTCCTTCATCGGTTCTTCCGAATTGGAAGGGGTCACTCAAGGATATCCAAAAAGGCCAAGAAGCACTGAAATATTGCAGTCTCCAATGGATATCAAGCAAACAACCGAGGCCAACAATGAGGTTACCATGAAGTTTGGCAAAGATGGGTTCACATTTATGGGAACCAACACGGATATCATGGGAGGTTTCGGACAATATCCCATTGGGGAAATTGGAAGATTCGATGCAGAACAGTTCACTCCGAGGTTTTCGGGCAATGGTGTCTCATTAACTTTGGGACTTCCCCAATGTGAAAACCTGTCTTTATCAGACACCCATCAGATCAGAGTTTTCTTCCGGACCAAGCAATGCAAATGGGGAGAAGGCTCGATGTTGGCAAACCCGATGAATTTGAGTCTATCAACCCTTCCACACCACACTCTTCGGCTGCTGCATGTGTCAACATCAACATTCAAAACAGGAAAAGGCTTCCAGCACAATTGTTACCGGACTTTGTTGCCTGATCAACATGAAGATTTTGGATTCAAGAAGCTTACTGGGAAAGATATCAGGGATTTTCCAGGAAAATGAATGGTAGTGTAAAGGAAGGAAGACAATTCCACGCATAGTATAGGTCTATATACTTTCCATAGTTCAATTTGAGTCCTCAGACGGTTTAGGATCTCAGCAAATATTTGAGGATTGTATATTAATTTTGTTAAGTTTTGGGGGATTGGTAGATGGTGATTGATAGTATAACATTAATAGGGATGACAAATGTGTACAATTTTGTGGATTCCGCATTGTATCCGCTTTAATTGGGGTGGGGATGGGTATAACTTTAATGGTAGTGGGAGGATGTAGATTTAGAAAGTGGTACCCGTAGCGGATAGTGGGCAGGTGATGAATTTGAGATCTTACTCGCCCCACATCCGTCCGCCTACTAAATACCCATTAAATTTTGGACCATTATAAATTTAGGTATAATTTTAAGCTTTGTTATTTATGTGTGACAAAGAACAAAAATATCATGTGTTTGTCATTTATGTTTCTATGCTTTAATTATGTCTTTTATTATGGTATTTTATGTACTTTAAGAGCTATGTTAACACTTAACTCAGATAATCCTTGGTTTATTTTATTATGTTTCTTAATAAATGTGTTTGTTTTATATTTATTGTTTATATATAACTTAAGGTTGATGTCAGGCAGATTTAGTCGGATACACCTCTAGTTGGGTAGTGGGTGTGATGATAGATTTGAGAATGTACCCGCATGAGCGGATATAGATTTAAAAATTTTATCCATCATGAATGGTGGGTGGTGGTAGATTTGAAAATATTATGTGGATATGTGGATGGGGAAGGGGTATCCGCATCCGACCCGCCCTTTTGCAATCCCTAAACATTAGTCACTTGGGTATACCGGTATAATCAAATTTCTAGTCAATTTGGTTATGTATTTTGTAGTAATTCAGGACAAAATTTACTAGTTTAATTCTTTTCTGATGTTAAATCAGTTGCTAAAACATAAATAAGATGGGGTTACGATTTTATTTTGGGGTAATTACTAGTTTCTCGCTTCCCCCCCCCCCCCCTTAACTATGAAAAGGAATTTTGCTGATGGAAGTGCAAGTTTTGCAGTAAGCTTTTCAGAAACATGATTGTTAACTTCCAGATTTCAAGTGACTAATTTGTCAAAGAAAAAGATTTTTTATTCGACTTAAAAATGCGTATTTAAACATGTTTTAATTACAATTAAATTAAAATTCGACAAATAGATTTGAAATAATTTTTTTAATGGAAAATATACAAGCGTTAGCGTATATTAATTGGGTAATAGTACTCTATGAACTCACAACATTCTCATAACAATAATAATCATAAAATTCGAGATTTTATCATCACGAAGGTAAGACAATAAGACATATTTTAATATTTTCGAGTTCATGAATAACGGTGCATGAATCTCTTCTCTATTGATAATCGAACTAGATTTACAACAACCAACTTTAGTTAGATTAGAATTTTTATAGAACCTCTCATTAAAAAAAAAAAAAGAATAGTAAAGAACCCACACGAGTTATATTGGCAAAACCATCATTTGAATCTATTTAATATTCATTTAATTTCCTTCGATTTAGAATCATTTATCAAAGTATTTAAATAAGTGACTTGGTTCACACAATACGCTTCTTAGAATCGTCCTAATACTTTTAAAAAATTAGAATAATTAAACAAGTTAATATCAAAATAATACATATTAAAATCGAATAAAATAAGATAAATTTTTAAATCAATAAATCAAAATCAACGATCAACGATCAACCATCAATAATATCAACGAGATCATTGAGTCGAATATTGATTCAGTTCTAGTTACTCAAGTCAGTTTATAGATCAAACAATTCGAGTCAAATTATTTGTAAAGGATCAAGTATGAGTCACGAATCAGGTCAGTTCAAGTTAAACCATTTGAAGTAGAATGGTTCGGTTTCGATGTGAGCATCTGGTCGGGGCAAAGCTAGGGCAAGGGTCAGGTTCAAATCAAGTATGGGCTCAAACAAATCGGGTTCAGGTCCAAAGGCACCAGGCTTTGATAGGATTCTAGAGACAGCAGGCCTGGGTCTGGTTATAAGAATCAACCCAAATATATGTAAGCTAGGGTAAATCAGCTCAGGCGTTAGGCCTTGATTGATTGTAAGCTTGTGGTATATTGGAAAAAGACATCGTTTTAATTTTGATTGACATTAAATCTAGAATCTTTAATAATCTCATCCCTTTCTCCTTGTTAAAAAGATTATAGATATCGTTATAATGATACTTTTATCTTTTCTTAATTTCATATATTGTTTTTTTATTTGGGTGTTTAAATTTCATATATTTTTGGGTGTTATACTTTTAGGTGCCTCGAATTTTAGAATTTTACCGTTAAGTGACACGTGTCATGCTCAGGTGATTTTGAAAAAAATATTTTTTTAAAAATTATAAAATTTTATAAATGCAACACGTGTCATTGAATAACATAAATTAACGACGGTAACGGTCCAATCATTTAAAAGTGTAATGTTGAAAACGTTAAACACTTAAATTGACCGAAAAATAGGTTATATATCTAAATTAAAAAAAATGTATGTTTTGTACACTGATCTTTATATTAAACCAAATATTTAAATAAAATAATTAAAAATCACTATTTCAATGATCGAATATAATATTATATAATTTTATCTTTCCATAACTTCATATAATATTTTACTAAAATAATCAAAACCACTATTTCAACATAATCATTAAGTTTATATACAAATCTTTTACCAGTTTATACATAATCATTTACTAAAATATTTTTTTTTATAAATATATACTCATTTATTAAGCCATATGATTGAGTTGGTCATGGGTCAACCGATACCAATATAGTTGAAAAATGATTAAAAATTTATTTTTAGATAATAATACATATTTTTACAACGATACTTCTATCTTTTTTATGTTTTTATATAATTTTATATAAAACAATTGAAAACTACAATTTAATGATTAAATACAAAACAAATTAATTTATACATAAATTATTTATTGTTACATGTCTAATCATTATTATTTATATCTAAAATTAGCTTAAAATTCAAGGTACATTTTTTTATATTAATTAAAAACAATTAAACTAAAAAAACCAATAGATGCAAAGGCAGGGCTAGGCATGATCAACATACGCGACGGAACAAGACTTCGGAATAACAAGGGCCCAAAAATTAGATTTATTGCTATTCTTACAATAAAAAAACAAACAAAGTATTATAGATCAGTAATAAAATTTTTAGACCCAAAATCATAGAACCTATGATCGAATCTTATAAAAATTTTCTAATTAATAAAATTATCTTTAAAAAAAATTGAGATTTAAAGGCCTACTCTTAAAAATGTACACAGGACGAGTAGATGCAAATAAAAAATACTGGAGTCCACCATAGCTTTTTGTGTCTCTTGAATTGAAAAAAAAAACACGTGTTTGGAACGAGAAACTACGAAGAAAGAAATCCAATATGGATTGTAGATAATGGAGCGGCAGTCAAAGGATGTTTTTTTATTGTATAAATTCAGCCATTCACTACGAGGTGCAGTAGTTAGACTTGATAGTTGTCACAATTGAGCCTTTGAAAACTCACCCGTTGCCGTGTTTTGACTTTTGACCCTCTCTCTTTCCAATATATATAATCCTCCAAATTTGTCTTCAATGTTCAAACCTAAATCTTCATCTCTTCCTTTCAATCTTGATTCCACACAAAACAAAGCCTTTTCTTCTCCGAAATCTAGTTTTCTCTTCGGTTTGTATATACATATTACATGGATGGAATCGACGTTCCCCCATTTTTTATCTGCCCCATTTCTCTCGAGTTTATGAAGGATCCAGTCACGGTTTCTACAGGGATCACGTACGATCGGGAGAGCATCGAGAAATGGTTGTTTTCGGGGAAGAACAGCACTACATGCCCGGTTACAAAGCAAGTTATTTCTGATTGTGAGCTCACCCCAAATCACACCCTCAGAAGATTGATTCAGTCATGGTGCTTGTTAAATGCTTCCCATGGAATCGAAAGGATCCCAACCCCAAAACCTCCCATCAGCAGACCCCAGATTATCAAGCTTCTCGATGAGGCCAAGTCACCACTTCAACAGATGAAGTGTCTCAAGAGGCTTCAATCAATCGCTTCTCAGAATGTTACGAACAGAAGATGCATTGAATCTTCAGGCGTAGTTGAGTTATTGGCTTCAATTGTGAGCAATAGTGACTCTACAGCTGCTGAAGAAGTAAGACCAATTGACGAGGCTTTGAGCATTCTCTATAGTCTCCAACTCTCGGAAGCTGGTCTGAAGAATCTTATGGGCAAAAATGGGGATTTCATAGTGTCCTTAACGAGGGTAATGCACATTGGAAGCTACGAGTCTCGGGTTTATGCGGTACTGTTGATGAAATCAATGCTGGAGATAGCTGGTCCAATGCAACTGATCGGTTTGAGACCGGAATTATTTTTCGAATTAGTTCGAGTTTTGTGTGATCAAATCTCTCAACAAGCTTCAAAAGCTGCTCTACAAATCTTGGTCCATATCTGTCCACGGGGACGAAACAAGATCAAGGCAGCCGAAGCAGGGGTAGTACCAATCTTGATCGACTTACTTCTCGATTCATCGGAGAAAAGGGTTTGTGAGATGATACTAACTGTGCTGGATGCGGTGTGCGGATGCGCCGAAGGCAGATCCGAGCTGCTAAGCCATGGAGCAGGACTTGCAATTGTTTCAAAGAAGATACTTAGAGTTTCTCAGGTTGCAAGTGAAAGGGCAGTGAGGATTTTACTATCGATTTCAAAGTTCTGTGCCGCCATTAATGTGCTTCAAGAGATGCTGCAATTAGGTGTTGTGGCTAAACTGTGCTTGGTGCTTCAACTGGATTGTGGATCCAAGACTAAAGAGAGGGCTAGAGAAGTACTGAAATTGCATGCCAGAGTTTGGAAGAATTCCCCTTGCATACCTACCAATCTGTCCTCTACTTATCCAGCTTGATCAGTAGGGAAAAAAACCCAGATAGAATTCAGAATTTTCACTTACCAATATACTTCTGTACATAATTGTTCATTGATAAAATTAAATAGCAATAGCAACACACTGTAGTGTAGTAAAATTCAGCATTATCCGAGTATAGTAGCATAGCTTATACTTGCTCATATACTGATATTATTTCATCACAAATATTTTGATTCTATACGTAAATACAAGAAAGCGAACATGCATTTCCCTGATCAGGTCCTGGAGAAAAGTATCATCACTATACTAATCAGACGAATTCCGATTACCGAACAGTTGATTCGGATAGTGAATTTTTTGTTCTAGGACTCGCTCTTGTGTTGCTTGCAAGGATGGACTCATGTAGTACTGAGAATTTGCTCAAACTATTTCTCGAGTCAAGAAATCACCATCAGGCAATTGTGGCAATACATAGTTACCAGAATAGCGTATCTGTTAATTGTTGTTCAAATGGTTCAGTGGATAAATCTGAACGAGCAATGCATCCAATTAGATCACCTTCTCCCGGTAGTTGAATACTCGATTCCATGTTGTTGTTTCATAAAGATGGATCGAACTCCCTACTCAATTCTAGGACTTGGAAGCCGGACCTGTTTTCCGGTTGTTGATTATTCAAGAAGTTTGCATAAACAAGTACAAGATCGATATGAGAGCCCTCAGACAGTTGAGGAGCAATTGGACTCAGCAGGGGCATAGGAATGCCTAATCGAATCACATGATACAATCTTCGAGCAGCACCATTGGTCGGTAGCCTTAAGGACTTGCCTCTTATGTTTTTGCGGCAACCACCACCGACCAGCACATTGCGAAGGGACCCTCCTTTAGTCCAATATCTTCGACAGCCTTTGCAAAAGTACCTGGGTTGTGTTAAGCTATAATTGTTATAATAACAAAATTTGGTATTGGAGGAACCACATTTTGGACAATTTGGTGATTACATTTTAGGCTTCCACCCTCACTCCATCAATGAAAGCATGAAGAAAAGTAAACAATGTGAATAGAGTTATAAGGGATAAATAATGGGGCATTGGGAAGGAGCATGAGATTGGGACCGTTAAGGGCGACGGCTTGTGTGGAGTTAGTCCCGTAGGCTAATCCATTGTGTCGCTGTAATGAATGCGGCTTAGGAAGCAAATACCTCGAGAGGCACACTCTTGGTTTTGTTTCGGGACCCGACAACCTAGATATAAAATTTAATATTCTCATATCTCCTTAGAATCTTTAAGCCTCTTGAATGATTGTTATATCAAATCCACTTAATCTTTTGATATTATCTTTGATATATTTATGTAAATCTGTTAAAGTTAAATTTATTATCAAAATTGTCATATTCATCTATTCTGTCAAATTATGAATAACATATTATAATCCTACGCTCAAATAAAAAAATGAACCATCTACGGTCGTTGCAACCGAAATGGTATTGTCGTAACCGTCTTTCGGTTGGGCTCCGGAATCGGGCTTCGACGTGAGTGAATTGGGTTGGAGTCGCCACCGATCATTTATTTTATAAAAAATGGGTTTACCGGATACCTTATTTCTTACCTGATCTGCGTCTTACCAAAGATGTGTCGGATTCGGGAGTCGGTTATAGTCAAGGAAGGATTAGCACCCTTGAACTGCCCTTTCGGTACTACGCCATTTCCAGTTGTCTTTAATTAAGAAAATTATAAGTTTAAATTGAAAGGTAAAATATCGATCCGAATACTTACCCTAGACAAATTTGAAAACATCCTTTAAAAAAAAATCAAGGAACGCGTTAGAAAAAAAATGATAAGACCCAACAAAAAATAAAGATAAGTGAAATGAAGGAGACGAAATAAAACGAGTAAAGAAAGACAAAGACAAGAATGAGATAAAGATAACAAGTAACACCATAAACAAAATGAAAATAGAGAAACAATAATAAGAGGATAAAGAAAATAAGTAAATAAAATAAACTAAATATAATAAACAAAATGAAAAGAGTAAAAAATGAAATAAATAAAACACAGGAAAATAATAGTATAAATAATATATACATATGGATGAGTAAGAAAATAGCACATATAAACGCATATTTACAAAATAATGATATAAAAGAAATACATATAACTATAATAGGATAAAGTACTAAAAATACTTATTATAGTAAATAAATATATATATAAAAAGAAAGGGGGAAAATAATAATAATAAAGAAATAATTAAATATATATATAAATACTAATGGAGAAACAAAATAAAATAAAAAATATTTAAATAGGCCAAAATCAGAAACTAAAAAAAAGAAACTCAACTGCGAAGGGATTATATTGTAAGAAAGATAAATTGGGTGCCCAAATTAAAGTAAAATTGAGACTAGAGGCCGAATTAAATCGAATTTTAGGTTAAAATGGAACATTTTAAAATAGAAGAGGACCAAAACGTGGTTGACCCTAATTACTTCAAAAACATGCGGGTCCAGGGTGAGAAACGGGTCAACACGCGGGCCAAATTGGGTTCATGGGTCTCATATAAAAGCCAATTTTTTTTAAAAGTTTCTCATTTCTTCATTTGAAAATAAGAGCCCCCCCCCAAATTCTTCATTTTCTCTCCTTGTTCTTCAAAATGAAGAACACCGGCCAACATTCAACAAGATTTCCAGAAATCAGCGGTTGCTCTGCCTCGCGCCGCTTCGCCGTCGCTGTTCACCGGCGGTAAAACCCTAAAAAATTTGATTTTTTTTAAAGCTCCCAACCCCTATTTCAAAATATTCGAATAGTTTCTTCAAAAACGACCTCGGGAGGGCTAGATCTAAATAGATAGATCCCGATAGCCCTCCCCATTCATCGACCAAAGATCGTTCATTTCGTGCTTTTCAAATCAAGAGAGATACACAAAGCGGGGAATAGCCACACGCAAGCCAAGAATACGCTGAATCGAAGGTAAAAAAAAGAAAATATACCTCTTTTATTTCTTTTTTCGAAATGCTCTACAAGTGTTCGGACTCTCTTTGCGCTTGCTATTGTGAACTTGTGTGTGTGTTTGTCACGTAGTAATCTCTCTCTGATTGAGTGAATCCGTGTGTTACAACGAGTTTGATTACACTTATTTATACTGGAAAAAAACCTATTTTTAGATTACATATTTAAGTCCTAACCATACTGGTCTTTGTTGTTTGCACGTTTCTTGACGTGATTTGTTGGTTTGTTGCCGAGGAAACTGACGTTGGGGATGTGGAGCAAAACGTACGGTGTGGGGGGACCTTGAGCGAAGGAGGCAGCGCGCTAGGGTTTTTGAAAACCCTGGTCCTCGAATGGCATTGAGAGATTGGGAGATTAGAGTTCACTTGGGTCATGTGTTCTGGGTCACTACTGGACCATTGTAAAACGGGCTGCTGGGCCACAATTTTATTTGTTCCTTGTAATGGATCTTACAATGTACCTATACACGTAAAATAATAACAAAATAAATAATATGTTATATGTTATATATACAAATATATATGTAACACATGAATGGATGAAATGGGGTGTCTACAGCTGCCCCTCTTTGCTTATTATCATGTAACAAAAATGGAGCAAAGATTAATAGACACAAATTTCATCCATATCGGATGCCCTCTGTCGTAGAGTTGAATTCCGATGTTGAGACTGGTTTGTCAACACGAAATGACTCCCTCGTTGTGAGGTTGAGTCAAAACTGGAAAACTCTGAACACGACATCCTTCGTCGTGAAGTTGAAATTGAACTCAGAGTATTAGACAGTAATTTATGGATCGTCTTCTAGCCCAAAATACTTCGTCGTGAAGGTGGAACTTGTCCTGAAGACCTCGGTGTTGCGGTGTTAAAAATGATTTATTTGTTGTGGAATTGGGTTAATCTGTTTGTAAAGTTGGAATTGTATATGGCTCCTTCGTCGTGAAGTTGAGCCTGAGAATTGGATATCCTTCGTCGTGAAGTTGAAATCCAATGCAAGTTGTTTCGAGGCCAATATCCTTTGATTTAAAGTTGAAATTGACTTTGAAACTGGAAAGTGTGTTGACAGACACTCCTTCTTCGAGTTGAATATCCTTCGCCGTGAAGTTGAAATCCAATATAAAGATGGATGCTGCTTGTATGCACGATTCCCTTCGTCGTGAAGTTGAAACCGCGGGTGGCCCTTTTGTTGTGAAGTTGATCCTGAGAATTGGATATCCTTCGTCGTGAAGTTGAAATCCAAGTATTGTTCCAAATCCAATATCCTCTTCTGTGAAGTTAAAATTGGTTCTGGAACTGGGAAATTGTTTGTTGACAGTCAGCCGCCCCTTCGCCGTGAAGTTGAACTTATGCTGTCTTGAGTCCAATATCCTGAGTTGAAAGTTGTTTGTTGTTAATCAACCGCCCCTTCGTCGTGAAGTTTAGCTTGTATTATCTTGGGACCAATATCCTTCGTTGTGGAGTTGAAATTGGTTCTGAAATTGGGAAATTATTTGTTGACAGTCAGCCGCCCCTTCGCTGTAAAGTTGAGCTTGTGCTGTATTGAGTCCAGTATCCTTCGCTGTGAAGTTGAAATTGGCTCTGAAATTGGGAAGCCCCTTCGTCGTGAAGTTGAGCCCCGAATGGCACGATATCCTCCATCATGGAGTTGAAATCGCGGATGTGCGGGTACGATTCCCTTCGTCGTGAAGTTGAAACCGCGGATGGCCCCTTCGTCATGAAGTTGAGCCTTGACTTGAATAATCTTTGTCGTGAAGTTGAAATCCAAGTATTGTATGTTGCGAGTGGACACGATTCCCTTCGTGATGAAGTTGAAACCGCGGGTGGCCCTTTCGTCGTGAAGTTGAGCCTGAGAATTGGATATCCTTCGTCGTGAAGTTGAAATCCAAGTATTGTTCCAAATCCAATATCCTCCGCTGTGAAGTTAAAATTGGTTTTGGAACTGGGAAATTGTTTGTTGACAGTCAGCCGCCCTTTCGCCGTGAAGTTGAGCTTATGCTGTCTTGAGTCCAATATCCTGAGTTGAAAGTTGTTGTTGATAATCAGTC